TAAAGTCACATTGCCAGGCAACAGGGCTTTTCCACCTGGAGGCCTGATAAGGGGCTTGGCAGAGCTGCGTGTTTGAAAAATATGATTTTGTAAGTGAGGATGAGGGTTTGTTGACTCTGCTGTCCAATGCCCCAGGCCCCACGGCCAGATAAGCAGCTGCCACTTTCCCCAGGGGACCAGCAGAGCTGCCCACATGCAGTCACCCTGAGCCCCACCCAGAGAGCAGCCCAAACTGCTCTAACTTTGGTTAGATGCTACCAAAGTGGCCATTCTGGCCACCAGAGGCAGGTGGTGGCAACGGTGTTCTCTCTTCCTCTCCCTGAGTCTGGTCCAAGGCCCTGGGATGGAGGGGCTTAGGGCTGCAGGGATTACCCCAGCTAGGTCTGATAAGGTACCACAGTGCCTCCCAACTCCTTCTGCCCCCCTTCTCAAATGATTCCTCCCTCAGAGTGAAAGCCAAAACCTCACTGAGGCCCACGAGGTTCTGCATGATCTGAGCCAACACGGTCTCATCTTCAGCTACCCCTGCCCCTTCCAGCCACATTGGCCTTTTTGCCTGCCTCACCTGCCAGCTATGTTCCTGCCCCAGGGCCTTTGCATTGGTGTTCATTCTGCAATCTGTGTACCTGGCTCTCTTCCTTAACAACTCCTTATTCAAGTTGCATCTCCACGAGGCCTGTTCTCTTGTGCAGCCCACCCCTCCTCCCTGATATCCTAAGGCTCCTTACCCTGCTTAGCTCTTTTCTTTTCCCATGGCCTTTGCCACCTCCTAACCTACTATGCAATGCTCTGATTTATTATGGCTTATTGCTCATTGTCTGTCTCCTGAACCCAGAACAAACTCCAAGAAGGTCTTGCCTCTTTCCCTCACTATTGTATTTCAAGAACCAGGAACACAGTATGAGCTCAATAAATGTTTGTTGAGTGAAGAAATCTCTCTCCTTCTCAACTCCCAAACAGCTTTGAGAGAAACTGTGAAAAAGAGTCTATGCTCAGAACGCACCTCTGGAAAGTAACTGAGCCACCCTAGAAAAGGTCTAGGGCAGTGCCCCTGACCCCACCAGCCCTACCACCTGAAACCTCCAGAAAACGCTGTCTCGCCCAGGAAGGAGAACCCAAGGCTGGGCACCAGAAGCACTTGGCTCTAATTCCAACCTTCTGTTGATGTGTGACTGGGGAGACACTCTTCCATTTCAGAGACTCAATTTCTCCTTTTGGGAAAATAGCACTGACCCTCTTTATCCACAAGCACGACAACTTTGGGAGCCCTGAGCTCAAATCCTGCCCCATGCTTATTAGCTGTGTGGTGTTAGGCAGTTCAGGCAACCACCCTGAGCCTCTATCTCTTCGTGACTTTTTGTGAGCAGTGGCTACTGTGCTTACCTGTGATGCAGTGTTGTCCTTTGCCTCCTTATGGGATAGCATGGGGAGGTGGCTAGCAAGGTTGTTCAGTGAGTGGACAGCAGGTCCAAGATGGACTCTGTCATGCTGGCCCTGGAGCCCGGAGCTCTCCTTTCCCCCACATTCAGCACTACAGCTTGGTCGGTGCAAGGCCTTGTTCCTTTTCCTGACCCAGGGGATTCTGTCCCCAGAGACTCAACTCACTGTCACCACTTGGGCCTCTGTGTTGGTGACAGGTATCACGATGGCCTGGTTGACACACACCTCTTAGGAAAAACCCACGTCCAAAGAATTCCCTGCAAACTAACCCCAAAAAGCAACCAAGCCTCAAAGCTAGGGGTGGAGGAGACATCTGTCAAGTCTGGGAAGGGCCTGAGCATCAGGCAGCTGCAGGATCCAGGGCCATTCAAGGGTGGGGACACTGTTTGACACCCACACCCCAGACACAGAGCTGGCATTGCCAGAGACTGAGCTTGAGATGAGGATTAGAGTGCACCCTGGGAGAGGAGTGAGGAAGGACAACAGGGATGGTGGAGAGAGCGGGAGGGGGAAGGAAAACAGTAAAGCGTAGCTGCCAGTGAAGGTGTGCTACCAGAAAAACATGCGCTGAAAATGATCACCTATAAATGAGGCCCCAGGTCTCCACTGCACTGCTCCTGTGTTGATTCTCTGAACTTTGCAAAGCCTTTCTGGTTTCTGTAAAAAGTTGTAGGTACAGAAGGGTGGATCTTGGAACAGGAGGTTCCCAGAAGGACTGAGAGACCCAGGCAGGGCTTGGCTGCACCTGTTGGTGGGGGGGCAGTCCTGAGCCTGCAGTCAGCTGCCCATGGGGTGCATGGGGCCACCTCTGGGCCTCTTATGGTATCAGCATTGCAGGCTGGCTGTATACCTATGAGCCCACCTTTGGAATCCTGGGAGACAGCTGCGGACTCTGGCGCCCCCTCCCCCTCCTCACAGTTGTGCCTGGAAAGCCAGGCAGGTGGATAGGGTCTGTCCTACAGAGAGGCCAGGACACCATCCTGACCCCTCTCCCCACCCTCCAGACTAGGAAGAAGCCCCCTCATGCAGGTAAAAGCAGCGATTGTTTTTATTATGTAAATTATACACAACATGAAATTTACCATTTTAACCATTTTTAGGTGCAGAACTCAGTGGTATTATTGTATAACCAATACTATCACTCATTTCTAAAACTTTTGTTTTGAGCTAGGGTCTCTGTATGTGGATCAGGCAGGCCTTGAACTTGAGATCCTCCTGCTTCAGCTTCCCAAGTGCTTATATTATAAGTGTGCACCACCATGCCCAGCTCCAGAACTGTCCATCTTCCCAAATTCTGTACCCATGAAACACTAGATCCCCATTTTCCCCTAGCCCAAGACCCTGGCAGCCCTCCTTCTATTCCCTGTGAGTCTGACTAGAGATTTTTACAAAGCATCTCTGCGTGGTTCTCAGTGTGTTCTCACTGTCCTACCTGCCTCCTCTCCCCTTCCCCTAAGTACTAAGTACTAAGTACTAAGGCTGCCAGTCTTAGATGCCTCTCATTTGTTTATAAAATAATTAGAAAAGCTGCAAAGTTTTGTATATGAGATTTTGTTTTGGTGGTATGGGATTTGAACTCAAGGTCTAGGCAGGCGCTCTACCACTTGAGCTACTTGATCAGCCTGAGATTGCTCTTTACAGCAAGCAGCAAAAACAAAAGTCGGTGCACCTATCTGAAAATGAAACTGTGACCCACAGGAGTGTAGCGGGTGAAGTAGTGGGTACAGATTCACAATCTGACGCTCTGTGGAAGCATGTTAACAAACCTGCACGGGGTCACAATGACCCGGTGTCCTAAGTCCACAGTGCTCAGCTGAAACCCTTTGTTGAGCACTAACCTTGGATGACCGCAGCTGCCTCGCCAAAGATCATAGAATAAATGCTGTAAAATGACTGATTCTCAGCTCTGTGTGGTGTGAGCACAGGTGACTTCCCTGTGTTTCTCAGGTTTGGGATGAATTACATGTTTCTTCTGTGCTCTCTGGCTCCTTTGTGCCCTCCCTTCTTGCCATTCCTTGGATGTTCCACACATGTTCCTCCTTTCAGCATTGACAATGACTGTAGTCAGGCTGGCCCACTCTGTCACCAACTTCGAATGTTACCTCCTCAGATCCCCGGCACCCTCGTCCCCTTCCACAGCACTGTCACGTTGCACATGACACGCTGTACATTTTGCATCTTTACTTATTCATTCTTTGTCTTTACCCTCCAGAAGGTGAGCTCATAAGCTCTGTAAGATTCAGGGCTTTGCTGTTTTGTTCATCCTGTGTCCTCAGCATCTCGCACAACTGAGAGCTGTTCTCAAGTGTTCTGAGCATAGGGTAGATGCTTATCAAATTGCTGTTGAATGAATAAGTGCATGTATAGGGCCATTTCAGTACAGTTTCTCATTTAGGGACAGGAGTGGGCACAGGTGTAGGCGAGCAGGCAGGAAGTAAGAAAGGCAGCAGTGGATGGGGGGCGGGTTGGACAGGAAGAAGGAAGGAAGGGCTCTGGAGGATGCTAGTCAGTGACAAATTGTTTCCCAGATACCAGGTGGAACAGGGTTTCTCATAGGGACACCAGGGTGAGAGTGACATCAAAAACCCCATTGAAAAAGGAAACCAAGCAGGAAACAGACCTCACACAAAGCATTCGATTTTGAGAACACTCCCAAAGAAAGGAGAGCTGTGCTAAAATACCGGCAGGGCTGCCAGAGGCAGGTAGGCTACCGGAGGGGGTAGACCGAAGCAATGAATTCATGCCCCAGGACTTCCATTATGGCCTGCTGTTGCCTCACCACTCTCATGAGAGCTGAACAACGGTGCCCCAGCACCCAGTGGAAGTCACAGCCAGTGGCTGAGCGGGCAGAGTCCAGGACTTGGCCACCCTGGGCTGACCCTTCCACGGGTACACTGAGTAGTTATGTGTGAAGTGGCCAGAGCGTGGGCACCCAGCACTGTGAAGCAATGCCGGCTGGTTCTTATCAAATGCACGAATACAGTGACGGACCGTGAAGGCAGAGAACCAGGGTGCCAGAGAGAGGCCTCACTCAGACGGGGAGTCGAGCGGCCTCCCTCTCCCTGCCTAGATATTCGGGGGAGCCCTGAGTGGTGAGCATGCCTCCAGCGCCGAACTCAAGAGAAACGCAGGGTGAGCAAAGGGAAGCTCGGAAGCCTTGGCGCCTATTCCGTGCAGTAGGAGGAACGCGAGGATCAGAGACGAGAGTGACTTGCCCATGGACACACAGCAAATCGGTGGACCGGTCGACAGGTGGAGGTCCAGCTGAATCCCCGTGCCACCTTCTAGGATCCAAATACTTTCTTTGCAGCCACTAGCTGTGAGCGGTGGATGCCAGCGGGAGCCAGAGGTGAGTCTGGAGGTGGAGCGAGCTGGGGCCGGACCCCCGGGGGTGGGGAAAGGGGGCAGGGGGCGGCCCGATGACGTCATTTCCGGGGTCGGGGTATATAACGGGGCACCCGGGCGCTGCTGCTGCTACCGCTACTGCAGTGCTCCATCCCAGCGCCGAGAGGATCCCGGGCGGACCACAGACCACAGACTGCTCGGCGCCCGGGCTCGCCATGCGTTCCGCGGTCATCCTTGCGCTTCTGCTGTGCGCGGGGCAAGGTGAGCGAGCGCGAGGACCCGGCGAGGGGTCCCCGGGCGAAGGGTCCCCGGCCGCCCGCCCGAAGTCCCTCCGCGCGCCGAGGCTTCAGCACCGCGGACAGCGCCGCCGCCTCCTGCCTGGCCTGACCCCACTATGTGGCCTCCGCCCAGGCCCCCATCGGACCCTTGGGCCTGACCCCCAACCCGCGGGACAGGGGCCCCCGCGCCCACACCCCTTGTCTGTCCCCTCGGCTGCATTAGGGCCAGCACCAGCTCCTCGCCGGGCCGGCCAAGGTCAATGGGGCAAGGTGGGGCGTGGGGCCTGCCGCCGGTCCCCTCTTCCCTCTCACCCTCTTCCATCCTTCCATGCTCCTGGCTTCGCCCTGACTTACACCTCTCCGCATTGTCCCTTACGCCCACCACAGCTCTTCCCCTCAGCTCTGTGGTCTTCCCCACCTTTCCTGCCTCTGTCCCCACCCCAGTCCCACTGCATACTGGCCTTGTTTTCATTGTGCCCTCTCAGTGCTCACGCCCCCTCCTCCCTAGGGCAGGGTTAGACCCTTCGGTGCACCGTCTGGGAGCCACCCCCTGGGGTGGCATACATGCAAGAGAAGCAGAATCAGCCTGGCTCTCATGTGGGTGGGGACAGTTTGAGGCCACGTGAGCCCTATCGGGCAGGACTTCACCCCTTCCCTTGCCTAGGAGTGACCCCTGTGCTCTCTATTTCTTCCCAGTCTCTGCCCTTCCTGTCAACAGCCCTATGAATAAAGGGGACGCCAAGGTAAGAAGGGGTTTGGCGATGCCCGGGATGGGGAAAGAAGTGGACACCTCATGGTCAGTCCTTGGGCAGCTGCAGGAGTGAGTTTGGCACAAAGCCAAAGCCAGCACTGCGGCTGCTGAGCCTGGGGACAGCTTGCAATAGAAGATATCAAAGATGCCTTGCTTTCCCTGCTGTGGGGACTTCCGCGGTCTTCTCTGAGCTTCTCGTGTAGCCCAGAGGGTCCTGTGTTACCCACTGGGGCTAGGTACCAGGCCCACTGTCCTGAACACTCTGGATACAGTGGGGCCACTGGGGACATGGCTTCTCAGTTTTCCACAGACCTGTCAGGCTCTGACTCTGGTCCGCCTTTGCCTCTCCTCTTCAACCTGCCCCAACCTCTGCCAGCAATTCCCACCCTCACCCAACCCTGACTCTTAACCATGGCTCCTTCACCCAGAGACCTCCCCAGCTGGAACTGATGGTGGAGATCACTCAGGAAAGACCAGAGGTGGCTCCTCCAGCAGTGAGAGGCACCCGTGCTGGGCATATCCTTGGAATTTACTCACATCTGAGCTGGGGCTGTTTTTCCAGGCTCTGGTATTCACGTACATCTCCACCTAAGTGTCAGGGAAATTTCTACTCCCCACTTTCCAAGGGCTATTTTCTTCTATTAGAGGCCACAAATAAAACCAAATCATCAAAGAGACTTCAACCTCAATTTGTTCAGTTGTATTTACTGTTTTTTTTTTTTTTTCAATTACACACAGGCCTGAATTTAAACCTCCATTGCCCATTCTAGCTGTGCAACTTTGGGAAGATTCCTTAACTTCTCAGTGTTTCCCTCAAGGGGAGATATGGAGAGTAGGAACCATGGATGTGTCACATAGTGGGTCCTCTGTTAATAAGCACTGATTTTTCTGGAGCTTCCCTTGATCTCCCCAGTGCTCTTGGGACCCCCTCCCCAATTCCTGTCTCCCAGAATCTGCCCTCATTGGTGGGTGTCTGATACTCCTTGGGCATGGTCTGGGGTTGCCAAGAGATACTGGCTGGGTGCTGCTTGCCAGGCCCCTATGGGATACGCTCTGGTCACCATATCATGCCTCACAGTGTGGGGTCAGAAGCATCAGGGCAGCTGGCTAACCTGAATGTTCCATCTGAAGTTGTCACTATACACACTGTGGAGCATTTGCCAGTTTGCCATCCTGGCTCTGTGGACTGGTTGCCTTGGCATTCCATAGACACAGCTTTCCACCCCCTCAGTCCCCGCCAGTGCTGCCTGATGCATGTCTGACACCTCCCACTCCTCTGCCTGGCTCTAGCCTGGGAAGCGGGTCTGGAGTTGTAAGTCCCTGTCTGGGTGTGTGTGACACTTCACACCTTATGGAGTGTTTTCCCATCTGTGCTTCATTACCCTAGGAGGGCAGTGCAGTGGACGTTCCCATTCCCATTTGACAAATGAGAAATCTCAGGCTCGGAGAGGTTAAGCCACTTGCCCGAGATCACACAGCTAGAACACCAGGCTCCAGCTGGCACAATCCTCAAAGATCATTCATCATCAGATTCCTAGTTATCCACAGCCCCTTGCTGGACTGGGTAGGACTTTCAGTCTGGCCTGGCACCCAGATGTAGCTGCAGTGGGCCTCACATCCAGCCCACGGATTCATCTTATAGATAAATATAGAACTAGACTATGAGGATATCACTGCCTGCATGAGGTGATGTCGCGAGTGTTGGGAGACAGTGATTCCAGTCCTGGTCCAGAAACGGTAGAGCCCAGAAAGGTCTTTGATCTCCCACGGGGTGCCTGCTGACCTGGCCATACAATTGCAGAGCCTGGCCTTGGCCAGCACTGGATAGATTTCTGTTACTACTGCTCTTACCATCCAACTAAGAAAGCAGAGCTGGGCTTCCAAGCCAGACACCATGGACCCCTGAAGACAAAGGCAAATGCTCTCCTGTCCTCATTTGAAATTTGCCCGAAAGCTTACAGGCTCTGAGCTCACACCAGCCCCAACCCACCCTGCTCTTTTTCCAGGTGATGAGGTGCATCGTGGAAGTCATCTCTGACTCTCTGTCCAAACCCAGCCCCATGCCCATCAGCCCCGAGTGCCTGGAGACCCTGCAAGGAGGTAGGGACCAGAAGCACGGGCCCTTCTGCTACCGACAGACTGGGGGACCAGGAGATGGGTGGGTGGCTGAATGGGTTAATCATTTAATCCAGCTGTTCCTGACCAAGCACCCACCAGGTCCAGCACTGGGCTGGGAGCTGAGGGCCACAAGTTATGAAGGGGTTGCAGCCCCTGTGCCCCAGGAACTCATAGATCAGCAGAGGGGACAAACATATACACAGTTAACTAGAATTCTGGGCAGAATGAAGCCGGGGCTCAAGCAGCAAGTCACAGCCTATGAGGGTCCTGTGGCCCAGGGTTTTGTGTGCTATCCCTAGTGTCAGAAGAGCCTCTGGCATCTGGCAGACACCCGGTAGGTGAGATGAATAAAAGGTGGCCTGAGAAGGACAAATCTTTCGAAGCTGACAGTTCAATGGGACCAGCTGCTGAAAGGAGCCAGTAGGACATGGGCTGGGTTTTGAGAGGACTGTGGCAATGATCAGGAGAAAGGTAAAACAAGGCACTCGGTGGAGCAGACAGTGTGGGCAAAGGTGGAGATGTGTTTAGAGAGATTCTCACCCATCGTCCAGGCCTGTCACTCCTTGACTGAGGTCTGGTTGTGGGGTACTGACCTTTCTGGTGTAACAGGAAAATGACTGACACCTGGGAAAGCAGGCAGCTTCCAAAGCAACTGCAAGACCCCTCCCCCTGCACCCTGGTGTTGAGTTTGCAAAATAAATGCCTTGTATTCAGCAGAAAATACTGGCTGTGATCTCTCTGCTGTCCCCTGGAAACCATCCCTATCTATGCTCCCTCTCTGCAGACGAACGTATTCTTTCCATCCTGCGACACCAGAATTTGCTGAAGGAGCTCCAAGACCTCGCTCTCCAAGGTATTTCCACCATCACCCAGGATTCTGGGTAAATGCCAATAACCGAAAAGCAGGGTGGAAGGTTGAGCAAGGTCTTCTCAGGTACTCAGTTTCTTTTCAATTACAGAGTAGAAAGGTGGGGTCCTCTGTGCTACCTGGTTCAGTTTGTTATTGATATTGCCAAGAAGATTAAGAGTCAGAGAGGCTGAGTCATTTCCCCAATGTCACAAAGCGAGTAGGAACATGCTAAGACCAAATGCAGCTCTCCTAATGCCCCCTAGCCTCTGGAGCTCAGCAGTGGCAGGGAGGGACTTTCAAGACAAGAGAGGTTTCTTACCTCTGCAAACTGGAAGTAAATTGATCAGCAGAGAGGGGGGGCCGTTTTCCCTCACGAGCTTTTGCTCCAGGGGATTTGGGGGAGGCAGGGTTTTGCCTGCCCCAACCCACAGGTCAGACTTTCAATTCGCTTCAAACAGGGTATCTTTTTCCAAGAGATTACAGAAATCCCTGGCTGCCACTGGGATGGGGCGAGTGTGAGGTAGTGAGCTCACATCACTGAGGGTCATTGGCACCGGATGGCGTGCGTGCGGGGTCAGAGGGTTCGGCTGCTCACACACCCCTGCCCCCAACTCCCTCCGCACTTGAGGTCCTTGGGGCAGATAGGGCCATATGTGAGAATGGGGAGAGATTTGTAGAAAAAGCCGCAAAAATAAGCATGGCAGCCCTCCCCACTCCAACGTGACGTTCCCTCCCTTACTTGTAGTCTGCCTGGGCATTGAACACCTTCCTCGGATGGTTTGGGGAGGATAAACGTGTGCCTGGCATGTGGTTAGTGCTGAGTGGCTGTGGCCACTATTACCTGCACGTCTAACCTTGTCACCATGCGCCCTGGGTTTGTGTTTTTTAACTAAACATTAAATATATTTTATTATGATATTTTACTAGGATAATTTCACAATTAAATATGGCTGGCTAACATTATATTTAAATGAGGATAATATCAGCAGAGCCTGCTAGAGAGTGATGGGTCCTGGACACTTACACACTTGTGGGGGTAGAGCGTACACAACCTCCAGTGTACACGTGGTCATTTTCCACTGCAAGAGCACTGGGTGTCTTCAGCTATCACCATTGTCTCTCCACGTGCTCTCGGTGCCTGTAAAGTGCTCCCACACTGGCCTGTATCTCAGCACCTACCATGCAGTGACCCTCTTTGCAAATGAGTACCCAAATCTCAGGGAGCCCACATTGCCCCAAGTCAGCAAATGGAGAAATGTCCGGGACAGGCTGGAGCCTACTGCCTGAGCCCACTGGCTGAGCCCACTGCCACCCACCAGCTGCAGAGCCAGCCAGGCTGAGGTGCCAGTGTCTGGAAGCAGGCACAGGTGTGGGACAGTCAGGGATGATACAGGGAGAGAGGGGACCTTGGTCACGAAGCCCTGGGCTCAGAGACAGGCACAGCATGAACTCACAGGACCCCAGGACAGCAGGTGTTACCTGAATCAAGAGCATCCTTGAGTTGTAAAGACCAGCAGTCACTGTTCCCTCCTACTGCAGGGTCCCCAAGCTCCCCTCTCCTGCCCCTGGGACCCTCTGCTCCAGTTGGGACTTTATTGCTCTGTGAGGCACAGGTAGGGCTTGCTGTCTGTTCCCAGTGGAGAAACTGATTCTGGAACGATGGTGTCGAGTGGCAGGGGGTTGGGGGACAACACTCCACCCTTCCTAAGCCTGTGCTCCTCAGCACAGCCCTGGAACACTGTGCCCACTCCCAGACGGGGTCTCAGGGGCAGATGTGCCAGGGCGACTTTCTCTTTCCTCCAGGGGCCAAGGAACGGGCCCAGCAGCAGAAGAGGCCCAGCAGATTCGAGGAGGAGCTCTCAGAGGTCCTCAAGGGCCAGAATGATGAGGCAGAGCCGAAAGGTCTGTGCAGCATGGCTGCAGGGATGTGTGTGGTTGTGTGTGTGTGTGTGTGTGTGTGTGTGTGTGTGTGTGCATGTAAATAGTAATCATGACCTGTGTGTGTGCGTGTGTGTGTGTGTGTAAATAACCCCTGGAAGGCAGCTATTATTTCTTTCCCTTTACACCTGGGGAAACTAAGGCTCAGAAGATCGAGTCTCTTGCTCAAGGTGAACCCTATGATTTTAATCTGCATCCATTCTACTCCAAAGCCCTCCATGGGTCCCATCTGCCCTCCCCTAGTCTCTGGCCTGGCAGGTTGGCAGTGCCCACTCTGAGTCCTCCAGTGGCCCCTCTGTCAGAGCTCCTGCCCCAGCGCGTGCACTCCTGGGACTTGGTGGTGCCTTAGAATAGCCACAGTGCAGAAAGAGCTGTGTGCCTTGGGGCAGTGTGGTGCCATCACCCATCCTCTGCTCTGGAAGAGCCACAGACAGCACCCACAGCCCTGGCTCTTTTGTGTCACAGTTGGTGGGTGGGGCTATTCAGGGGCCAGTCCAGTGGCCTCTACCTGCGGTTGAGCGGGGATGCCTGCAGGTTTGCACAGCCATCACACCTTGGCTCTGCTGTGACTCGAGCAGCTGCCTGGGGTGCTACAGAGACTCCCACTGTCTCCGTGGGATGAGTGTCTGGATCCCTCTGGTCACCTGCTGCAGGCTGCAGGAGCAGGACAGTTCAGCACTCTATGTTTGCAAGCATGCACATTTGTGTACCTGAAGCTTTTATGCAGAGACTCTGAACTTGACACTGGGGGCATAGGATCAAAGCCCCACTCTGCCTTCACAGCCTCGTGAGCATGGACTTAGCTTTCTGCAGATTGGGGTGAGTTTCTGTGGAATGGGTGCAGGAGCAGCTGTCACCTGGAGTCCTGGTGGAGCTCTGGAGGTGGCATGGCCTGGTTGTGTTTTGTTCAGTGGCAGCCATTCCAGTGCCAGGGATTTTTACTGCTAAAAGGCTGTCTTCAAGAAAATGTCTTACTTAGGGCCGGTGGAGTGGCTTAAGTGGTAGAGGGCTTGCCTAGCAAGTGTGAGGCCCTGAGTTCAAACCCAGTACTGCCAAAAAACAAAAAAGAAAAGAAAAGAAAAGCAAAAGGTGTGGAGGTAGGAGAATGCTGAGTTAGAAACCAGCCCAGGCAAAGGTAGTGAGACCCTGTCTCGCAAACAAAATGACTGGGGTGGTGGCTCAAGAACCCCGCCTAGCACAAAGCCCTCAGTTCAGTCCCCAGCACTGCAAAAACAACCCCCCCCAATTTTTTTTTCAATACTGGGGTTTGAACTCGGGGCCTCACACCTGGGGAGTCACACCCCTAGCCCTTTTTTACTACCTATGCCTCCTGCAGAGCCTTGTGCCAACATGCCAAGCTTATTGGTTGAGATGGGGTCTCAAACTTTTTGTCTGGGATAGCTTTCTAACCATCGTCCTCTGCATCCTGAGTAGCTGGGATTATAGTTGTGATCCTGTGCTCCTGGCCTCCCCAAAAAACTTTTAAGAAAGCCTACAAATACTGAGGAACTGAGCACTTCCATAAAGTTGCTGAAGACAGACAGAGAAGCACCACGTGGAGGTGCAGTAATGGCGCCTCTTATACTGCTCGGTACCACAGAGCAGCTCAGCTGATGTCCTAAAGTTCAGCGAAGGCTCCGACTTCTGGGGTAGATTGCAAGGTCTGTTGAGTTTTGGTTTGAGCTTTGTTTCTGCTGGTGTATTCAGGTCAAGCCCTGACATGGAAGGGTGACCCTAACTCTGGTGTTGGGCTGGGTTTCCTGGAGGCCAAGACTTGCAATGACAAATTTGACCTTGGTCTCTGGGGACCCCCTGCAGGCAGCTTGGTCCTCAGGGCCTGACTCTGCCTGTTGTTTCTACAGAGGTGACGGCAGAGGCATCCCCTAAGGATGCCATGGAGAAAAGAGAGGACTCTGAAGAGGTGGAGAAGAGTGCTGGAGTCACCGAGGGGACTAGGCCTCAGGCCTCCCCAGAGCCTGGACAGGAGTCCTCAACTTTGGAGAACAACCGGGCCCCTGGGGAAGAGGAGGCCACCAACACCCAGCCACCAGCCAGCCTTCCTAGCCAGAAGCACCTGGGCCTGCAGGCTGCAGGGGACAGTGAGGGCCCCTTTCAGGGTCTGGCGAACAGAGAGAAGGGCCTGAGTGCAAAGCAAGAGCAGCAGGCAAGGAGAGACCAGGAGGAGGAGGAGGAGGAGGAGGAGGAGGAGGCTGGAGAGAAAGCCATCCCCGAGGAAGAAGGCCCGACCACAGCCTCTGACTCCCACCCCACCCGGGGCTACAAGCAGATCTGGAAAGGCAAGAGTATGTACGGCGAAGGGGACCAGACAAATGTTGATCACATAGGGGGTGGGTGGGAGGGGACCTCATCCATGATCTCATTCCATCTTCATTACAATCCTGAAAGGTAGGCACTATTTCCATTTTCTAGATGGGCAGCTGAGGCTCAGAGAGGTTAAGTAACTTGCCCAAGGTCACACAGCTAATTTGTAGTAAAAGCTGATTCCAAACCATGCATCTCCCACTCTTCCACATAGTGCTCCCCCCAACCTGGGAAGCAAGAGGAGCTTTGCAGGGTGGGTGGATGGCTTTGGGAGCAGAGAGACAGCATGACAGGTGGGAGCCAGCTGATCTGGGCATCATGTTAGCTTCAATTAAGGCCCCTCCCCACAACTGACTACCCCAAGCTGAGTCAGGGTGAGGGCGCTAGAGAAGGGGTGGCCAACCCACCCCTTTGAGCTGTGAGAGGATCTTGGAAAGCCTAGCATCAACATGGCTCTCTGCTCCTAGTGGGGCCACTGTGAGTGGCTGGGTGGATCCCAGCTGAACCTGTGGCCCTATTGGTGGCCACACTGGGGCCCCTGGGGCCTGGCAGAGAGCAGGGGAAATGGCAACCCCTTGTCGTTTCCTGCTCTTGTTCACCATCCACTCTAGGTCGGTCCAAGGTTCTGGCTATGGATGCAGCTGGGAAGATGGGGGCTGAGGAGGCTCGGGCCCCTGAGGGGCAGGGAGAGCAGCAAGAGGAACAGGAGGAGGAGGAGGTGGTGGCAGGGGCCCCTCAAGGCCTCTTCCGGGGCGGGAAGAGCAGGGAGCTGGAGCAGCAGCCGAGGGAGGAGGAGGAACAGCTTTCCAGGGAGTGGGAGGACGCCAAGCGATGGAGCAAGATGGATCAGCTGGCCAAGGAGCTGACAGCGGAGAAGCGGCTAGAGGGGGAGGACGAGGAGGATGACCCCGACCGCTCCGTGAGGCTCTCCTTCCGAACTCGGGCCTATGGCTTCAGGGGCCCTGGGCCGCAGCTGCGACGGGGCTGGAGGCCATCCTCCCGGGAGGACATCGCGGAGGAGAAGAAAGAGGAGGAGGGCAGCGCCAACCGCAGAGCAGAGGTTGGTACAGATGGTGCCTTGGGCCAGGCCCCGGGAGTGTGGCTTCCACCCTACTGAGGGGACATGGTCCCCTTAGCCTGGTCCCAGAGGGGAGCTTAGACAGGGGCTCTTAGGGCAGGGGAGCGCTCAGCTCACAGCACAGGCACTCAGGACGGCTGCTGGGTAAGTGGACAGCAGAAGTCGGGAGGCTGGAGGCCTTCAGACCAGCCTGAGAGGCACCGAGTGGGACTGTCTCAAAGGCACAACGTGTGAGCAGGACAGGAAGCGATGGGGGAACTTGGTGTTTTGGATGGAGACAGCCTGGCAGAACTGATTTGGCGGCAGGCGCGTCTAGGTCCAGAGTACCTGTGGCCCTGAGAGCTGGGGGACAGGGGAACAGATACCAAGGGGCAAGTCATGACCTGGGAACACTGCTCAGTGGGTGGTCATGTCCTGGTCTTCAGGCAAGTATGGTGCACCTCCTCTCAGGTCCAGACCTACCTCCAGCCCCGGATGGCAAAGAAGGGTAGGGCCTTCTAGAATAGGGCCTGTGTGCGCAGGTGGGGGAGGCATGGCCGTGTTTCCACGGACCTAGGTTCCACCTGCTCCTGACTGTATGACCTTGGGCAGGTCATTGCCCTTCTCTCAGCCTCACTGGTCCCCCATTTGTGAAACGGGTGTATGGAGTCTTTTCTGCTCACCTCATTATCATGATTAAAACCACATGCGCGTCAAAGACCTGGGCAGCTGCAGGGACACAGGGGTGCATGGGGCGTGAGCTGGGCTTCCTGGCAGGCAAGAATGCTGCATGAGCTGGATGGAGGTGGCCCTGGTGGCACCTGGTTAAGTCTCAGTGCCCAGGATGGAGTCGGGCTGTATAGAGGGCTGGGACCTCTTCACGGTCCTGACCCTAAGGCTCTTCCCTGCCCATCCGAAAAAGGAGGCAGCTCCTTTGGGCCTCAGTTCTCCTGCTGGGCTTAGGGCTGGGATCTTGGCACCTGAGAGCAAGAGGCTCCTCCTGGCGGCGGGAGCAGGGAGAGGCATCTTCCTGTGTCCCCGTGACTGGGGGACAGGCTACAGGAAGAGCAGTGTACCCTAACCCCCAGCTGTGGACCTAGAACAGGGCAGGCAGCCTCAAGTCCCACCACAGAGCTGGAGAGAATGGGGCGATTCGGCATCCATAGACATGGTGAGGTGGTGACATCTCTCAACCTAAGCGCCACGGAACTCACACCACACAGCCATTGTCATTGTTCCTGTGGACAGGGTCCACAGGGTTGAAAGTGGGAGTAGAGGGCTAGGGGTGCCCTCGGCAGCCTCAAATCAGCAGGAGCCCTAGGAGGATAACCCCTCCAGGTCAAGGTCAAGGTCAAGGAGGTGGTCTCTTGTGCTCCAGCCCTGGTATGCTCTTATGGATGACAAAGCGCTCAGGACCCTGGAAGCTTGGGAGACTAGATCACCAAGCAGGTCTCAGAGAAGGGTCCCCTGCTTCCCTGACCAACCTGGTGGCCAGGACTCTGGGTCCCCTCAACTCAGGACCAAGGATGAAGGCCCAGACTGGGGTAGGCTGAAGTAAGGCAGCTCTCCCAGCAGCCCCTGCAAGTAGAAGCTGCAGAGGACAGACTCCCAACCCTAACTCAGCTGTACCCCTGCACCCTGGAAGCCTTCATGGTCAGCCAGGACAAGAGAGGGACCCTTAGAGGAGCCAGCAGCTTCATGTTTCAAGTCCCATCCAAATCACTTAGGAGGAAGTGCAGGCTGAGTTAGAGGCCTAATAGTCCCCCGGGAACCCCAGCAGGGTGGCATCATTGTCTTCTTGATACACAAGGTCCCTGAGGCTCAGAGAGGCAGAGTCACCTGCCCAAGGCCACACAGCTAACCATTGGTACAGTCAGTCTGTCTGTCCCCTCAATGCTGCTGGCACAGACCAGCCCCTATGTGACCCTTGCTGTTCTTTCCCAGGACCAGGAGCTGGAGAGCCTGTCGGCCATCGAGGCAGAACTGGAGAAGGTGGCCCACCAGCTGCAGGTGCTGCGGCAGGGCTGAAGCGCCGACTGGAGGGGCCAGCCTGGGTCCCAAGACACCCTGTGGTCCTGGCTCTGCTGTCCCCTCTGCAGGTCCTGGCCAGACGGCCTGGACGCTGCTTCTGGTAGAGGTGGCCTCCAGCCCACCAGAGCCCAGGCTGCCCCACTGCCCCCTTGCCACTCCCCTCTGTTCTCTGCCCCTGCCCCGGACACTCCTGCAGGGCAGCCCTTAACTTTCAACATGGATTATTCCTTCTGTGAACACAGGCAGCTTCTAGAAGTTTCCCTTTCACCTTCATACCCACTGGGCACAGCTACAATAACTTCTGACCTTCCAGTGAAAGCTGAGAACTTCCGACTGTAATATATTCCAGATAAGATTTATCTAAGGAGGAATAAACCTGCCCTGGGCTCTTTCCCTGTTCTTTTGAGTTTTTTCCCTCTCAACTCCAAGTGGGGTGGAATGAACCAGATTTGGGCAGAAGGACAGATGTTTCAGTCTGACTCCTTTCTGGGCCACTTCTCAGCTGTGGGACCTTGGGCAGGTGACTGCACCCCTGAGCCCAGTTTCCTCATCTGTAAGGCAGGTGTGCTGACCTGCCCTGCAGGGCGTGAGCATGGGTTAGCAGGTGGAGGCCCACTGCTCCTCCCTCTGCGTCCAAGCCACATGAGCTGGGTCATGCACAGGTGGAGTGAGATTGCCTGTTCTGTGGTCTGTGTCCCTTAGTCCTCCGTAGGGCTGGGCAGAGGCCGAGGTCCTGACAGCCCCAAATAGTGGCAGCCATAGGCCGCAGGCACCAGGCCAGCACTGAACTCCCCGATGTGGGCTTCTGTACTGCAGGCCCCACCTGGCTGGCACCAGTCCACACTGTGCCACCATGACCACTGGCCTGTCAGGACATGAGGGTCCTGTGCACTCAATGGTTCATTAGAACACAACAGGTCTGAGTTCTGGTTTTGGGAATGAGGAAACTGAGGCAGAGAAGGTAAAATGGCTCAAAGTCACAGGCAGGAGCCATGCTCCATTTAAGTGTGGGGACCATGTAGGACTATGCAAGCAGGATGGGCCTGGGTGGATATTGGCCAATCATCTAGTCACTCATCAAACATTTGTGCATGGTTGCCTTGAGCCTCATAGGCTGTCCATAAAAAGATGGCTGGACAAGCCCTGGACAGCTGGTCTCTTCAATAGACACAGCAACCAGCAGGGACCAGTGTGTGCTCAGCAGAAGGAAGGCCATGCCCCGCAGGCTGAAACGAGGAGGTTAAGTTTGAGCATGGCTCCATGGGCTGGCTTTTGGCCTTGGACAGGCACTTCACCTCTCCATGGGGCAGCCTGGGGTTGATGTCGTCGGCCTGTGCACCCCAACTAAGAGCAAGCTGGGTGGGTGACCCTTCCAAGCAGTGGTGATGAGGACGTGTGGGCTGGGGCTTAGCCTTGGCAGGCTGCCTGAGTGGTGCTTCCTGCCAGGGTTAGGAAGAGCGTCGGCATTACGGGTGAAGCACTGACCAAGTTCAGTGTGCCACGCTGGGATTTGGAAGGGAAGACCCTGAGGGTCTGGGTTCTACCTGGTGTATCTGAGCAGGAAGGTTTGGTGGTGAGAACATTGGTTCTGACCTCAGACTAGAGTTGGCATCTCCAGCCTAGCCATTTTTGGCTGAAGAGCTCAGCAGGCCTTCCTGGCCCTTGGAGCCTCAGTTTCCTTATCTGTAAAATGGAGACACCTGTTATCCCCTTACCTGACTCTGGTGAGTACTGGAGGGTCTAGACAGCATGGACCAGAAAACCATTAACGGTGATGAGTCACTTGGGAGTCTCAGAAATCCGGGCCTAGAAGAGCCCTCCGAATAGCTGCTGCTGTAAAGCATTTATTTCTTCATTTCAAAGAGACACCTGACCCAACAGTTCTAGGATAGCAAGCATACCACCAATGGTTCCACTTGGAACTTTACAGACCAAAACACCGCCACCAGATTGTTGGTAAATAGAGAACACAGAGACACCTAGTTCCTAAAATAACCTATCCCAGAGATGAGCCACCTGTGTTGTCATAACCTCACAGAACAGACACGCAGCCTGATCTAAAGCCAAGAGCACGTACAGTTTATAGACCGCATGCACACGCATGTCTGTTATATACAGAAAGCCCAACTTACATTTCTTATACGTGATTTTTGACCAAGTGTTGTCAAAAAATAATTCCAAAAAAAATTGTAAATTCAGCTGATATGAAGCTCTCAGTCAGTCCCATGTTATCGTCAGCTGTGCTTAAATCATTGCGTGATCTGCTGCTGAGTGTTTCCCTGCCCTTCATTTTGTGAAAATTTGCCTCCCAGAAAGCAAATGGTACCCCCAAAGCAAGGTAAAAGTTACTGTGCTTAATTTAAGTGATAAAATGACAACCTGAGATCTGTTGAAGTGTATGTCATTAGTGGAAGTTATTATGGGAAAAAATGAATCAAGCATGAGCAGTACAGCACTGAACTGTATGCATCCTAAGCACTCATGGGTGGTCTCCTTAGAACCATGTACTCACTGACTGCAAGGGTCTACTATATACAAGGATGTATACAAAGTCCACGCCAGCCTGGGAGTCTGGTAGGGTTGCTTGTGAACAGAGCAGGGTGAAGGCACACAGCAGCTGTCACAAAGCACAGGTGTGGGCACTATTGGCGGTCCTGGTGAAAGCCGTCCTTGAGTACTTCTCCAGGGAGCCTCAGGGCAGGATGACCTGACATACCCTGGAGGACGGGTCAACCCCTCCAAGCTGCCAGGCCACAGGAAGCAATGAAATGCAACCATTTCTGGAAAAGGCCCCAGCTGCCCAGGAGGTTCCTGCTGGTCACTGCCAGAAGACCCAAGCAGCAAAGGCCATGCCACCTAGGTGTAGCTGTCCTCTTTACTGAGCGTGGGATGGCCACTCTAAGAACACACTGATGACAGTTGTACAGAAGGGAGGGGCAAGGGCATGGAGACAGGGCCACAGGAGGTCCTCCCACATCATCTGGGTCAGGCTCAGTTGAGGCAGGCAGCTGAGGAGGGCAGATGTGGCTAGGCTGATCCCAGGAAGTGGGGGCTCCTGGGCCCAAGCAACCCCGGAGGGCTGCTGCACCTGTCTGCACCCAGCTTAGAGGCTCTGGGGCCCCGAGCAGTAAGCCATGGCACTGGCGTGTTGGGATCTTACGGGGCAAGTGATCATTTTCTAGGGGACAAAAAGAGGGCAGCCTCCAACCTCAGGGACATCAATGAGGCCATCCAATGGTTCTCTGTGGCCAGCAGCCAGTGTGAAGGCCCAAGAGCCAAGGACCAGTCTTCCAGGGTGAAAGGACACATAGTGAGTGTCAGGCAGACAATGGTCACTATCAGCTGGCAGGAAACCAGGTTTGCACTAGGGTTTTTGGGAAGGCCCAACGTGGCAGGTCTCTGGGTAGAGCGATGCTTGCCTGGGTCATTTCCTCTTCATGAACAGGATTAAAGATGTGCAGTGTTCCCTTTATAACTCGTCTAGGGTTGGGTGGGGCCTGACCTCCACAGGCAATGCTGGAGGGACACAGGCCAACCATACCCACCTAGACATTTCTGTGACATGAGCAGTAAAGACGCTGGCCCAGGGCAGACTCCCCTTGGCTCCCTCGATGAGGACAGCCGCCAGCAGCCAGCACTCTGCAATGTCACATTTGTGAAATTACGTTGTTCTATAATCAAAGTATTCTCAAGCAGAACATTACTCAGGTCTATGCTCCTGGGTGCCCAATGCAGAGACAATGCAAGGAACCCTCAGTAACTGCCCAAGGCCTTAGCCAAAATATGGTACTGCACTTGCCCCTGGAGCCTCTTGGCAGCCCCATCCACTAAACCCCAGCCCTGACTCAGAAACTGCATTGTGTAGGGAGGGACAAGGTACCAACTTACTCAGAAAGGGAAGCGTGGCCTGAGCCCCAGTTCTCCTATGACTCCTTCAAGTTCCTTTGCCTAGCAGGGCCTCCCTGGGCTGACACTGTCAGGGACTCCATTCAGAGGCAGCCTAGCCACACCCTAAGGAGGTGGCAGCCATGGCTCCTGATGCAGCACCCTCAAGGCATCACTGAGCCCTCTGGCAAACCAACCAAGCAGTGTCCCGAGACCAATGGTCAGCACGCACTTGGGACATTTAGGGTTCTCTCAACCTGGCTACTGACACCCCCCTCAGGGGCGGCTGTGCCCCTCATTGTCCAGCGTCCACCAGCCTGGACAGGCTGGTCTTTTCTATTACCTCGAAGCCACCAGGCCTCTCTGAGGCTAAACATCACCCCTGGCTTCTAGTCTACTCCTGGAAAATGCAACTGCCCCGCTCGCCACCCACAGGGAGGCCTGTGGAAAAGACCACGTTGTCAGAAGGCACTTACCTGATACCAGGGCCTGGGTGTCACCATGAGTGACCTACAGAATAATGAGCTGTAAGGGAACACAATGCAGCTGGGTCACACTGCACACCCTGCCTGTTCTCAACGCAGACTGGGATTGGGACTTTACTTTTAAAAGGTAAAGCTGTTTCATTAAATATCTTGTCTTTGCAGACAGGAGGATGACAGAACAGACAGGAGTGACACTTTGTAAGCATGTGAAGTGCAGTTTGATTTCAGTAGTTTATTTTGGAGACAAAGCAGTGCAGGAGGCTGGCCACACTTCCTGGCCTCCCGGCTCAGGGTTGGACCTGGGGAAGGTGACGCAGACATTGATCAGGTTCAACAATCAGTTCCTGTAAACACGCCTAGTCCGGGAGCCCTCAATTTCCAATGAAGCCCCTCACCCAGTCGGCCCTTCCTGTCAAAAGGAAGCCCGCATGGCCTTACTGAGTGCCCCGCTCAGTGTTCCTCGTGTCCTGTCTCACTGGACCAAGGGACAGCTCAGAGGCCTTGTTTTCTTTTCAAAGTGAGCTGGTATCTTGATACAGATCACACTGGCTGCTCCCCCAGGGCTCCATACCCTCCAGAGTGGAGGAAGCAACTTGGGCGCCCTTTCCTTCCTTCGGGCCTTGGGTCCCTCCAGTAGCCTGCCTGCTGCTCCCTCGAGGGCTGCTTCAGGCCTGCTGAACCAGGAGGGGCTGGCACATGTGAGCAGGAGTGGACCCTATGGGTAGCCGAGGAAGAGGGGCCCAGACAGCCATGGTGCTCAGCAGAGGCTGCTGTGCCGTCCTTATCCAGGATGACATCATGGAGTGCACCGCCTCTTGGCTGGTGTAAGTCAGCCCTTCAGTTCTCTGGTCTTGACCACACACAAGGATGATTTACCCAAAGTCCCAGCACAAATCCTGGCACAGGCAGGCTCAGCCAGGCTTCTCAGCCATATGGCTCCATTCCCTCCTGGGCCCTAGGGAATGGCCCTGTGAAGGGGCCTGATGGACTCCAGGGAGCCAGTGGACAGTGGCACTAACCAAGGGTTTCCTCAGCCTTCCATTTTAAGGGAGGGGGTCACAACCCAGGCCCCCAGCATGGAGCTCCCTTGAAGGGGCCTACCGCCTCCTCCCTGACTTGGGGAGGAAATGAGCTGTACCTCTGGTCAGGAGAAGAAGGAAGGGGCAGGTCTGGGCACGGGCAGGCTTGGAGAGGGAAGGAAGAAGGAACCGTTCGTTTGCTCGCCTGCTGAATCACGACAGCCTGGCCAGGGGCAGGAGGCCTCCCTCCAGGGTCCCCAGAAGCCTGGTCCACAGCAGCCACGGAGACAGACAGACACAGACGTGCACACACACTTGCACGGCAACCACTCTCACACACACACCCCACCTCACATTCAGACCTAGTGTTGAAAACACAAGCATGTGTAAACTCAGTGAAGAGATCTGCACAGCAGGAACTAGGCGGGATGTCCCTCTTCCGCGAGGCTGGGCCACTTGGTGCTCTTTTCCATCCCCACCCCCATTCAGATCATGACATCAGAGAATCAGGTTAAAAATTAAAACAAAGAAGCGTCAGATCATCAGGAATTCATAGTAGTGTCCCTGTTGGGAGCTGCTGGCCCAGAGGGTGTGCTCCGTGCCCGCGCTGCCTCTCCGGGTCCCGGGCTCCATGGCTACTGTGAGGACGCCTTGGTGGCCATGGAGGCCACGCAGTGCTGCTGGAAGCTGGGCGACACGCCGGTGGTGCAGGTGAGTCTCTGGTGCGGCAGCTTGGCAGAGTTGCCGGCACCCATGCTGCCTGTGTCAGCCTCCACCTTCCAGGGCGCGTCCTGGCCCATCATGCTGCTGCAGCAGCCAGGGCTGGCGCTGCACGTCCGCTCACCTGCCAGACTGCCCGCCTGCTCCGCCAGGAGCCGACTATGCTTCAGTGGGGCCACATCCCCAGCAGCCACCGCAGCTGTGCTCTGGCCCTGAAGGACAGTGGCGATGTGGTTCAGGAGGTCTGTGAAGAACTCGCTCACACCCTCGTAGCCTGGGAGAGAGATGGCCAGATGAGATGTTAGCCAGGGGGCGACAGGAGAGGGAGAGGAAGGTGAAATAACGGGCTTACAGTATCTTATTTACACAGGAAAACACAGGTCCAGCAGACAGGGTGGGCTGGTGGATATCACAGAGCTGGGTACACATATCCTCAAAGGGCTGCCCTTGACCACTGGCCATCCCCAGAGAAAGAGAAGCAGTAGAACCTCAGGTGATGAAAACATACCATGTCCTGTTGGGCATCGCCTGTTACCTCAGTCAATCACCTGCTTACCACAGCTATGGTTTAGACAAGTGTTCCCTAGTGGCTTAGGTGTTGAAGCTTGGTCCCCCTCTATTAGGAAGTGGTGGAGCCTTTAAGAGGTGGGCCCTAGTAGAAGGTCTGGTTACTGGGTCTGTGCCCTTGGAGGAGATATTGGAACCCCAGTCCTCTTGTCTTCCTCTCTCTCTCATTCCTGACTATTAAGTGAATGGGCTTCTTCTAACCACATGCTTTCCCCATGATGTGCTGCCCCTCAAAAGCAATGGGGCCAACTGACCACAGACTGAAACCATCAAACCATGAGACAAAATAAACCTTTCCTCTTCTTAAACTGATCATCACGGGTATTTTGTTACAGTAAGCTGAAGAACACATCCACCCACATGGCAAGATGCAGTTGGAAGTGAAGTGCCAAAGTTCCTCATTCTCTAAATGAGGAACAGACTCCATGGGGCCTGGCTGAGTCTGGCCTCGGTAAACAGTGTCCATCTTGAGCCTCAGCTTCCTTGTCTGCTCACTAAGAGGATATGGTGAAGAGCCTAGGCTTCTGTGGGCATCACAAAGAGTGTCTGGAACCTAGGGAGTGCCCAACCCACAGCAGCCATGACCCAAACTGAGTCTGTGATCTCTCTCCTCGAAACACCTGCAGGGAGGCCCTCTGCTCTGAGAATTAGCACTCGGACAGACTGGCAGCACCAACCAGACCACTCCTGTGTCTGGAATATAAACCACTGGTGACCACTGGGAGAATGTTCCCCACACAGCACATGTCAGCACTGTCTTGGGAGCAATTGAGCAGGTTTCAGATTGAGGGGGAGGATTTGCTACCTCCCAATGCACTGCTTCCAAAGAAATGTGACCCAGGCTGGGGTTTCCCATCTCCTGGTCAATTTGCACCCAGCTCCAAGAACAAGCAGGGCAGGAAACCAGTCCTGAAATGGAACCACAGTGTGCCAGCTCTGGGCACTGCCCACTCCATGCAGCTGTGACCATCGCCATCGATGCTGTGCCAAGTGCCAAGAGGTCACTGAAACCCTGGCACATGCTTTGGGTGACATTCACAGCAATAAGCTGGGGCGGCAACAAGGTCAGGACAGGGGTACCATGTGACCTTCTGGAAAAGCTCTGTGGGTAGTCACGTGGGGTTAAACCACTGGGCTGTGTGTGGCCTTTGTTCACACCCCATGCACTCAGCAAACAGCCGCTAGGGTTTTGAGGAAGCCCAAGGGTGTTTTGAGGAAAACAGGTGCCCACAGTAAAATGAAAATGGCCGTAGCAGCTGGCATGTGTACTCGCGTGCTGGCACTGCACAAACACACACATCATCCTCACAACTCAGTCCCCATTGCAGAGATGAACAGAAAGGGCTGCTAACCACAACAGCAAAGACAATGATAACGTCCATACAGGTCCAGAGTGCCTGGGAAGTGCCTTCCACAGGGCTGTGGGCTTCACAGTCCCTGGCTCATTGCACCCTTGCAGCCCCATCTTACAGAGGAAGACCCTGAGGCTCAATGAGACCCGATGGTGCAAGGCTCTTAAGTGGCAGGGCAAGTGTCTTGTCTGTCTTGAATACTGTGTGGTACTGGGGGCCCCACTACAGCCGGGTACTCCCTGGTCCTGGAGTTGGGGGTAAAGGGCTGGTAGACGTGGGCTTCATGTGCCCAGACTTGTGGGTGCAGCTGTAGGGGCCTGGGTGAGATGGTGGTGCAGGGGAGGAGCACTGGGGACCCAGCCAGACTGCCAGGGAACCCAGGAGGCTGCTCCTCAGCAACCACTCTGTTTTCATCTGCAGTCAGGGCCTAGTGGCCCAGCAGACGAGGGCAGGTGTGTGCTTTCCAGAGTGAGGCGGAGACAGCTGCCTCTTCAGAGGCCTGTCAATAGGAGGCTGGAGTAGGCCAGTATCTGCGCAAAGCCATGTGCTGTCCGTGAGGGGTGGGAAATACCCGTTTGCACAGAAGTGAGCATAGGAACTAAAGCGAGGTGGCTTGAACCATCACAGACTAAAAAAGCGGGGCCAGGATTTAAACTCAGTGTTGGTGCTCTGAGAGGGAGGACACCTGGGATCAGAGTGCAGACTCTGGGCTCCTGGCTCCACCACTTAGAGACCCAGAGACCACTGACAAGTCCCTCAGCTCCTGGCCTCACGACCAGAGGCCCGCAGAGGTCACAGCAGTTCTGCCAAGCTCTCAGGGCAGGCCTGGTCCACGGTGGGGCAGTAGCACGCACAGCTCTTGCCATTTCTACTTCCTGAGCCCAGCAGTAGGCCTGACAGGGCTGCCACCACACAGCCGAGTCTCTGAGGTGGACATCTCTGGGGTGCAGTGGGCCCAGGAACCAGCCCTCGGCTTGGCCCTGAAAGGCCCTACACCAAGGCTGGCACACTGAGTTGTCTCCTGGCTACCAGGTTCCCTCCACCCACGTTCTGGGGCCAGCACAGTTCCCTGGGGCCATCCCCCAGCTCTGGGCTCCCTCAGAAGCCTCTGCAGGCTCAGCCTAGCCTCCAGCAGCTACAGATCCACCTCCATGCCCAGCCCTACTGGAGTACTGCTCCCGGAAACCTGGGAAGCCCTCATGCTGGCTCAGTGACTGTCCCCAAGCACTGCAATGGCCCTCAGCTCTCTGGCACCTGCCCACTGTACCACTCACACCTCTGCTTTCATCTTTGTTCCTCCCCCTGACACACCTACAACCTGGTAAATTCCCCCTGCATGCACCCAGAGGACTGGAGAAAGCAGGTTGACTATCCCTGTGGGTCTGACCCGTCTCAGAGTGAGAGCCCAAGTCCTCGCCAGGTCACAGTGGGCTCCTCTCTGACCCAATCCCCTGCCCCCCATGCCCCAGCTACACCATCTTTGCAGTGGCTCCTTCCCCCCTTGCCAGGCTTTGCTTTGGTGTCACTGCCTCATAGAGCAGTCACCAGCCACCCCAGTCCTCTGCCTTCTGTCTCTTCCCAACTGTGATGTGGGCTGAAGGCAGAGCTGATCTCACTCTACACTTGGTCAGGACCAGGTCAGACCTGAGGCCGCTGGGAAATGCCAGCTGAACAGTTGGCTCTTCTGAGCCTCAGGTTCCCTGCTATAAACAGTGATGCTAACCAGAGTGGGCCCCTATGCTGAGGAGCAGAGGGAACACAGGCATCAAGTCCCCAGAGGTGCCAGGAGGCTGAGGCTGAGAGGAGGAATCACATCCTCAACACTCATTCCCCGACAAGAGAGTAAGACTTGCTTTTCCTCCTCAGCAGGTGCTTCATAAAGGCAAACATCAAACAGAGGAGGGACTGCTGGAGCAATGGCAGCACTGGTTCCATCTACTTGGGATGACTAGAGCCCAGGAGTTTGGGACCAGCCTGAAGTGGAATGCCTGAGGCCTGGTGAACACTAGTTGTAGACATGACCCCCATGGTTCCTGAGTTCCCAGATTGGGACTCAGCTGGTGGTACATTCTACAGGGCCCAGGCCTGCTGAGGACCCAAGCAGAAGGGAGCATATGGCCTGGGCCTGCCTGGCCTTGTCACCCACGTGCTTTGTGAATTTGGACAATTCTTTCCCTTCGAGGGGCCTTAGTTTCCCTACAGTACACTGTGGAGGTTGTGCCGCTTTCAAAGTTCTTGCACTCCTAAGGTCTGAAGAGATAGACTAATCCGGCTAATCAGAGCTAATGCTGATATCAAGGTAATCAGAGGTGGTGAGAGAATGGGTGCAGCAGGCCTCCTGGGCCTGACACCTTCCTGGCACTAGACACTAGCTCTCCTTCACCCCTCTCCCTGCCCCAAGGGCCTGTTCCACAGGTGTGGCTAAGGCTCTGCAAGGGAAGCACCTGCCCCAGACCCCAGAGTGACGGGGCTTTTGAGTCCTGACGGTCGAGTCAACTTGTGTACTGTCAACTGAAGACACCAGCCCACAGACAAGCGGCTACAATTCCAGGAGGCCACCAGCATAGAGGCGCCCTGCCCTGCTGCTCACCTGGGAAGGCGTTGACGTCGATGATGGCATGCTGCCCTGTCTGGTTGTTGATGATGATGTCGATCCCAAAGAGCGACACGCCCAGTGCCTGCCGCAGGGCCCGGGAGAGTTCTCGGATGACCTCGTCACTTGGCCGCTCAAACACGCCCTCGATCTTGTCCAGCTGCCAACACACATAGGAGTTAGGCCATGGGAGGAGAAGGAGGTGCCATACTATGCTACAGAGACCCCCGTGTGAGCTGCTACCCTTCAGGCCAAGAAGCAGGGCAGACCTACCACAGTAAGCACCAGGACCACCACTATCTGCCACGCATGCACTGCAGTCTGATGCTCGATACCTTACTACCCTGGTACTATATCTAGGAGGTTGGGGACAATATTGGTGTTTCACGGGGAAACAGGCTCAGAGAGGGTCAGGGCTAGTCCAGGATCACACAGCTTAAAAGCACAGGGTAGGTTTTGGACCCAGCCTCTTCAGTTTCTAAAACCTACCCCTTTTAGCAGAGAGAATATAGGGAAATACCGGTCATCCATAAAAACAGAATGAATACGCATGAACTTTGGGAGCATCACGCTAGGCAGAAGAAGCCAGTAGCAATGAGCTGTGTGTTCCATGATTCCATCTATAGAAAATATCCAGAACAGGCCAATCCATACAGATGGGAATCAGATCCAGGGTGGGAGGAATGGGAGCAAGTGCTCATGCGAGCAAGGCAAGGAGAAAGTTTTGAAGTAAGTGTGAATGCACTGATTGCCACCACATCATTTGCTTTAAAATGGTTCATTTTATGTGTGTTAATTTCATCCCAATTTTTGTTTTAAAATGAAGCTGAGTCAGCAGGGGCGGGGACAGAGCACCGGTCACCAAGATGAATGGACATCCGGGGACTTCCAGAAACGTGCTGAGCAGGGATAGACACCTGAGCACTGTCCATGCCCTACTGTTCAGGACACCCTTGCCCCCTGTGCAGAACAGGCAGGTCCCTCCTGATCTCAACCCCAGGACCCTGGTGTCTTGTTCTGGAGAAGTGTCTAGCTAAAACAGGCACTCTGCACTCAGCCTTGACTGAGGAAGCCTGGCCACAGGTCCCGTAGCTCAGAGTCCTTGGCCTGCCCATTCCCCACTGCATACTCCAGAGCTGTAATGTAACCCTCCTGGACCTTTCTCACCCAGAGAATAAGGGTGGTAAAAATATCCAAGCCCCAAGATTCAGGAATGGACTGCAGGACCTGCAGTGCTGGCTGCTCCACCATTACCACCTCATGACAACGCTGTTTACAGAAGCACTTTCTCAGCTCAGCTGTGGAATCTCAGAAATCCTCCTGAAGCCATGTGATTATCTAAAACCAAACAGCCAGCCTAGGACAAGATAAAGGCCTGGAAATCTTGCCTGTGGATTCAAGCCAAGTGAGCCACTGATGCTGCAGAGAGCAAGGAGCCGAAGGAGGAGCTGAGCAGGTGTTTTGTGGGTTGCCCTGACTGCCCTTGCCCTCATCGATGTTGATACTGAGCACTTATGGCCCATCTGGCATGGGCACTTCTCATCCTATGGACAACCCTTTGGGGCAAGATGAGGAAACTGAGGTCAGGGAGGTGATGTGACTTGCCCAAGCTTGGGTCAGAGCACAGGCAGTCAGGTCAGACAGTACTAGAGATGGAACCTGGGCCTGTACCATGAGCCACACCCCCAGCAAGAGGCGTGCTGTGAGGAGCATCTCACACTGGCTCTGAAGGATAAAAGGAGCTTGGGGTCTGCAAGTTGGGCAGAGCTAGGCCCACATGAAGGGCATCTGCTGAGAATGAGGCAGGGCTTTGAGGCCAGTGGGGTCTCTGCTCAGCATCCTGGAGAAAAGGGGCAGGAGGATGAGTAAGGCATGTTTTGGCTACCAATTCCCAGAGAATGGAGCTGAATGTCAGGCGGGCCTGTAGGTCCAGGAGGCTGATGTCTCAGGGGAAAAGGTAGCACTGATTACATGGATACCTTTGCAAAGATATCAGTGCTGGAGGATTCTGTGCGAGTAGCAGTTACGTGCTGAGCAGAAGGTGGCGATGACCACAGGCCTCGGGAGTGGAAAAAGGACCCTGCCGCATCTAGGCCGACCCTTTTCAGCTGCAGTCACCAGCCAGCAGGTGATTATCCAGGGTGACTTCTGGCGGGTCGCCCTGCTCACAACCCTCCCTGTGTCCCTCAGGTACCAGTGAACTGCCTCAGTGGCTGTTAGCAAAGCTGCTAGCCTGGTAGACTTATGAAGGAATGGCAGGCTGTGGCCCTGAGGCAATTTCTGACTACACTGGAACAGGTGTCCTGCACTCACCAGCATGGGGAAAGCCCTAAATCCCTGGGAGACTCAGCTTTGGATCCTACGGACCTGGGGTCAAATCCCTTCACCACAGTGTAAACCGCAGCCCCTGAACTTGGGAAGCTACCAAACCTCTCTGAGTTGTTCATCCTCCCCTTGTGAGGCCACTGCAAAAGACCCCTGAGCATGTGGGTGGCAGTCTGACACACAGTGACATTTACTGAACACTAGCCACTGTGTTAGGGTTGGGGTGTCACTCCAGTGTCTGCAGAAGTACACAGGAGGCTCCTAGCAAATGCTCACAGGACTCACACCAAGGAGAGAGAAGAAAAGGAGACAAGTACTGCCTCAGCCCTGTCTGAAAACTGGGGAAGGGAGAGAGTTCAGGAAGCAGGCATTCCAGAAGGCCCCCGTGCTTCCCTGCAGGACATGTGCCCTGCAGTGAGGCCCCCAGCAGGAGTGGCCCGAGGCAGGTGGAAGAAGAAGGGCTCTGGAAGGTGTCTGAGTCCTGGGGCCCTTCTTCCTAAACTGGCCTGCCAGTTTGCTAAGCTGGAGAACCCCGTGACACCCCCATTTCCAAGGTTAGGTGAGGGTAGTCTCACACAAGGTCACCTTGGAGGAGGGACATACCTCAGTGAGGACAGATGACGATTCTGGCTTTGATACATTGTGGCTGTTGAAGAAGATGGACTCTCGGTCTGAAAAAGCACAGATAGGTAGAGTGAATTAGGGCCTGGAGTCGGGGACGTGATTCTGCCAATAAACACTAGGGGGCAGCACCACCTCAGCCACAAACCAGGACTGCTTGGGGCTCTGCATCCAAGAGTCAGCACCCTGGGTTCCAGGAAGTTAGGCAGCCCCCCAGTTGTACCATGGATGGACATATGTTCAGTCAAGGCCCCATTTCAAATTCCCCTCCCATATAAAAATTGTTTACTGGGCTATCTCCATTACCACCTTATAGCACTCCACCTGGTTTCCCAAACAGCTAAGGTCTGGCCTCAAGTGTGTACAGAAATGTCACCAAAGGAGAGCTGGGAGGAAAAGGGGCCATCTGAGTGGGGCAAACTGTATGCCCAGATAGCAAAGGCTCAAGAAGTCCTGAGGAGAAGAGATCTAGCAAAAGCCATATGGTTTGGGACTTCCTTCCAACCCCCACGGACTCAGACTATCACTGACTTGTGAACCTAAAATACAAAAGGTTCTGATATTTCCCACTTTTTAAGGGGGAAAAACAGGAAATCAGAACATAGGCTTCCATAGGATCCACCTAAGAAGGCACACAGAATGTCCTATCTACCCTGAAACACCCCTCCATCTTCTCCAGACACAAGTCCCTGTTCCATGCCTGCTGCCACAACACCCCTTCCCTCCTGCCCCACTGAGGCACTGGGAGAGGCAGAAGAATTCCAGGAAGCCGAAAGTGCTAACTGGACGATGCGCTCGTTCACCCCCAAGTACAGACGTCCTTGGGGAGAAAGTCAAGGCCTCAGTGGGGAGAGGTACAGTCAGCTAATCAGTGAGAAATGCTCCCAAGCCACTTGGGAGGGCTTGAATCATAAAACCATGAGCCCCAGGTAGAGTTCTGTTAAAGGCTGTCACCTCGTGACCTCCCCTGCCTCCAAGGGCAGCACAGGACCATTCCAGTCCTTGCATGGCAGGGCATTATGTCCCCATCCCTCAGGACACAGCGACCATCCCTGGGACCCAGCCCCTATACATAAGGACAGGAAGGGCGCTGCTGAAAGCCTGTGTGCCAGGCCTGGGGTGCCTGCTCTGGCTGCCATAACCCAGCAGCTCCAGGACTCTATGGCGCCATGACAATCATGCATGAGGAAGTGATTCAGGCAGAGGCCAAGCAGGCAGGCGCTGACATGTACCTGGCATCCTTCCCGCTAGCTGGGCACAGAGGCCCCTGGCCACCCCGGTGTGCCCGACAGTCCTCCCGCCGCTCCGACCAGAGCCAGTCCAGACGGGGGGCATGAGAGATGGTCCAGGGGAGGAGCCTGGGAAAAATAAACACCCTGCGGGACTTGTGCCAGGCAGTCCCATCGATCTCTCCTCATGGGTGCGACAGCCTAGAGCCAGCCTTTAGGGTGGCAAAGCCCAACCGGCCAGAGGCTGAAGCAGGGCTTCCCCACTGGGATGGCATTCTGGCCTTCTGTATGCATTGCCCATCTTCTCCATATGCCCGGCTCAGTGGCCTTCCCACCCAGGACCCTGCAGGTCCCCAAGAGCAAAGGTCTGAGTGGCAGAGCAGGCCTGAAGGATGAGGAAGTGCCACCACAAGCAGGTGACCACAACAAAGCTCAGGGAGGCCGGGAAGCATGTAGGAGCTGTAGGGAGCACACAGGCTCTTGCTTCTTGAGGCAGATCAAATGTACAAACATCTCCAAGGGGACCCCTCCCCCCACAGTTACTGGTCTGGGGTGCTCTGGCCTGAAGGCTACTCTGGGCAGCAAGAGCAGCTTTCAGCCATTGTCTATCACCCAGGTGGAGATGGCTCAGAGAGGTCTACCCCAGGAAAGAGCCTTGGGTACCCAGCTTTAAGACACTGGGTCCTTCCCACTGATAGACCAGGCTAGGGTCTTGCTCTCTGAGCTCAGCAGAGAGGCTCCAGTTCCAGGGAGCACCCAGGATTTGGGGGTCCCAGAGAGTCCTTATTTCCAGACTAGTCCCCAGAAACACAGCATAGGTGAAGTCACCACCAACTTCCTGCAGTGATGGGGGGAGGGCAAGGAAAGGAGTAACAAGTGGTTTTGTTCTCCATCTACAGATAAAAAGATTCAAAAGAAAAGTCAATGAGCAGATGAGCTCCCACATCCTAGCAGCGCAACCCTGACTGCGGCCACACTGTCTTCAGCCTCTGTGGTCTCCTGCCTCTCCTGGGGGTGCACCTTGCAAGTGCCGCACAGTGACCAAATTGTCTTCCAGTTGTCATTGAACACCCCTCTGCAGAGGACCAGCACATGCAGCTGTCCTTACCACACAGTTCCCTTACATAGTGGTGTCCTAGAACCTACTTTTTGCCCTGGAGACCTCATTTCAGGTGACAATTGGCCCTTTGGTCATCCTAACCCCCGCCCCCGTGTGCTGTCTCTCCCACTGGAATATACAACCTGGCTGGACCCCAGCACCCCACACAGCACAGTAGGCCCTTGGCGGGTTCAATAAAAACAGCCTCTCATGATGCTTAAGAGGCTTGGGAGTTGAGGTCAGCAAACTACAGACTGCAGGCCAGGTCACCTGCATCTGTAAATAGTTTCCTTAGGGCACAGCCCTATCCACTCATTTACATATCTCTACAGCTGCCTTTGCCCCGTGAGAGCAGCACTGAATAATGGGGATGCATTGTACTTGCTACTCAGCTTTTGCAGAAAGTCTGCTGACCCCTGTGCTGTGTGGTAAGAGGTACCACTCTATGTACTACTTAGGGAAACAGGCCCAGGAGGGAGCATGTCTTAGGCCCCTGCATAATGCTGGGAGCCTAAGGTGACGGGTCCTAGGGGTTAAGGTAAAAGATGAGAGAGAAACCCACCATGCAGAACAAGGGAGAAAGAGAGCAGCTGGGATGTGAACCACAGGCAAAGAACACAGTGCACTCCTATTCTCCTTGGAGACCAGCACAAGCCAGGCCAATGTCAGCTCGCATTGTAAGAACTTCACCTTGGTTGCTGTCTAGGCATCTGCAAGACACCATGGGCTACATAAGTCACACACCTGACTAGAGATGCTAACGTGTAAAAACAGAAATGCACCAGAGAATCAAAAGAGGATGGCGGCTGTGGTGTGCAGACAGGCCCTGGTCTCTGCCCCAGTCTGGAATGACCCTAAGCAGAACCCACTCCCAGTGTGGTCATGGGAAGCTGTGGGATCTGCCACAGAGGGCAGTGGGAGCCAGAAGGCTGGATGAGAGAGGAGAACAGAGTCCCAAGCCCACTTCTCAACTAGTCCAGAGTAAAGGGCTGTGTGGCGTCATGCCTCTGCGCTGGCAAGAACATGGACATGGACATGAAAGCGGGAACACGGCAGGCACAGAATCAGACAGATGCAGTGAAAGCTACTCGGCTCTATGGGTGTTTCTCCGCTCTGACCTGGGTCTGTGTGACACTTTGTGGCCTAGAAACAGCCACAAGGGAAGATGCATGGATGAGGACTCCTCACCCTGACTGCTCCCAGTTCTCAGCATGGGTAGGGAACTGGCTTAGCACTTTACACCCAGGAAGAAAAAGGATAAGGAGTCACAACAGCCAAAATGTAGAAGCAGCCTAGGTGCCATCAACTAATGAGCGGATCAGGAAAGTGTGGAGCGGGGCGCTGGTGGCTCACGCCTGTAATCCTACGAACCCAAGAGGCAGAGGATCGGCAGGACTGCAGTTCAAAGCCAGCCAGGACAAATGGCTCATGAGAGATTGTCTCAAAAATAACCAACACAGAAAGGGCTGGAATGCTTCAATTCGTAGAGTGCCTGCCTAGCAAGCATGAAGCTCTGAGTTCAAATCCTAGTACCACCAAAAAAAAACGTGGCATACATACAGAGGAGTATTATTCAGCCATAAAGAAGAATGGAAATATGTCATTCGCAGGAAAATGAACGGAACTAGAGACCACAGTGAAATAAACCAGACTGAGAAAGACAAATAGTGCATGTTCTCTCTCATATACAGAATCTAGTCCTTAAAAATGAATGGCAGGAATGTAAACCAGGTTCTATTTGAGGGTAGGTTCCAGCAAGAGCGAGGAGGGCAAACGAGGGGTACAGAGTGGCGAACATAAAGTACTTCACTCATATAAAGAAAATAGAATGGTAAATAAACTTGCTGAAATTGCTTTTAAAGGGGAGAGGAGATAAAGAAGCATGAGAGAGACGGTGAGTTTACTCAGGGTACACTGTATACATATATGGAAATGTCAAAATTCACAAGGAAACCCCTTTGTACAACTAATATATGCCAGTAAAAATGGAAAAAAGAAAGGAGATCTGGTGCTCAATCCTCTAGAAATGAAGTGAATTGGGTAAAATAAAAGAAAGGAGATGACATAAGATATAAGTACTCTTTGTGGGGGGGGTACTGGGGGTGGAACGCAGGGCCTAAAACACATAACTGCACCCCCAGCCCTAACTGTTCTTAATTACTTTAATACACTTTTCATAGACTTAAAGCACGTATTTTAAAAGTCTGGAAAATAATAAAGAAGAATTTGTAAAAATGTCAGTAATTTAGAAGACTGTCTGTCTCTTGGTGATCCATATCACATTTGCCTCCCAGATCATCCCAGGGTCCCGGTGAGCTGTGCTGGAAACAGTGTTGGGATGGCACTGCCCGAAGCCTGGCTGGGAAGGCCACTGGACTCAGGGGAAATGAAAATTGATGCCCATTTCCACAGCGTCCACTTTGTACCATGTTACTGGAAAGAAAAACGCAGCTCTAAGGAAGAATGGAGCAGATGTTTAGGCAAGTCATGAGGGTGGATGGGGACAGGCAGTCCCCGGGGTGGGAGTTTCAGGTAGAGATGGGAGTCCAGGCATGAATGCTTCCACAGATGGCATCTCCCAGCTTGCTCAACAGGCCTCCAAGGAGCCCTCCTGGAGAGCTACACTCATTCCAAAGGTGCTGCCCCTGTTGCAAAGGCTCTGGAGCTCGCCTTAGAGAGACCTTCAGCACCACTTAAACATTTTGTTTATTTTATTTTTGACAGCACTGGGGTTTGAACTCGGGGCTTTGCCAGGCAAGCACTGTATTACTTGAGCCATGCCCCCAGCGCTTTTTGGTTCAGTAATTTTCCAAATACAGTCTTGTGTTTTTGCCTGGGCCTACAGCCTCCCACACAGCTGCAATCACAGGTGCATGCCACCATGCACAGCTTATTCACTGAGATGGGATTTTGTTAACTTTTTGCCTGGGCTGGCTTTCGAATAGAGATGCTACTAATCATTCCACCTCCTGAGTAGCTGGGATTATAGCTGTGAACCACTGTACCTGGCTAAAACATGCTTTTGAATAGCCCCATTGCAGCAAATCTTTAACTGAGTGTCAGTTTTTAATGACCAAGGATAGTTGGTGGCAGGACTAGATGGAAGTGAGCAGCTGGCTGAAGGAAACCTCAGCTATTTTTTGTGAGCTTGGAAGGTCACCTCCAAGGTCCCGAAGGACAACAGCATCATGCAAATACTACCACCATGTGACTTCTGAGGGACACTTAGGATCCCCATCCATCAATTTGAAGCCTGCTCCCGGACAAGTGCTCACCCTGAGGGAGGTACAGTGTGCCACTGGGACTTGCCTGAGGTCCCCAATGGGGAGCCTTGTGGCCCAGCACCTGCTGTCTGCTAATGGAGCATGGATGCATTTTGGTGTCTGCAGAAGCCACAGCTAATATGGGTCCAATGTCCTCACTTGGAAAATGGAGCCATAGGGCAAAGGCGGCACGACACAGCACTCAGCATAACAGCCTCCTTCCTACACTGTCTCCAGGGCCCCTGGAATGCCGGCTGGCCTTGCCCACTCCAGCATATTCACGGTGGAGTCCAGGGATGGTCTTGGGAAGAGGAAGCTCTCAGGGGCTTCCTGGAGTTGACAGTGGCTTCAGTGGCTACAGTCCTGCAGAGGCCTGGTGGAATGGGTCTCTTGGTTCTCCATGGACTCTTTATCCAACTCTTTCAACCTTAGGTAACCTCTCTACCCATCCAGAAGTAACGTGGGGTGGCAGGGGGTGTGATGAAGGACAGACACCTGGTGCCTGTCCAGCCTGCCCAGGAGTCTGGCACACCCATGACAGCACAAAGGGCAGTTACCTGATGTGCCCGCAGAGAAGTTCTTGAGTGAAGGCCTCTGGACCACAGTGTAGGACTCGCCCACTACGAACACCTTGTACAGCACAGCATTATGGTTGATGAAGTTCTGGACCACACAGGGTGGCTGGATGGCGTTCAGGCCCTCCTGGTTGAACACAATGGCCATCTGGGGACACAGGGGACCAAAGGCTCTGTCAGAGTCTACCACCCTCCAACCTCCAACAAAGCAGCTTGTCTGTTACCTGATCACACTTAGGCCTGGCTCTGTGGCATGGGGACTCCCCAAGAAGAGTCTCACACCAGGATGAGTGGAACAGGATGCCAGAAAACACCTGTGGATCAACTCACTGCTGGGGTGGGGAAATCCTGCAGCTACTGGGCCTGCCACATAGAGCTGAGCACACTGTGCCCTGCATTAACTTTGAGAGCATAATTCACTGTAGTCCCAGGGAGTGGGATCTCCCTTGTATTCTACTCAACACTTATGACACCCTGGAAGGGCTTCACAAAAACCAGGAAGGCAAGGCAGGAAGCAGAATGCTATGGACCAGGAGTTGGTGGCCTTATGTCAAAGTTGCCCTTGCTAAGCACTCATGACAAGCCAGAGCCAGTCACCAGCACCTTCTGTGAGTCACCTGGCATCATCATCACGATGCCTCTAAGATGGGCCTATAACCAGCCCCTCTACAAATGAGGAAACAGGCCCTGAGCAGCTCTTTCTGCTGAAAAAGGACAGCTGGGATGGGAATCGGGTCTGCCTAGCACCCAGGCATGCCCTCACATTCGGAGCCACGGGATGCTCAACGAGGAACTTGTCTCTGTGTGCCCAGTCCTCCTCTGAAGGCAAACGTGTCTGATGGAGGATGTGGTGGGGATTGGAGAAGGAAAGGAAGAGAAGTAGTTGCAGACTCTGCCTGAGGCAGTCTGCCAGGACTTATCCTAAGGATGATGGGACGGAGGGGCTGGACCCCGCCCCCTTGAGCTAGCTGCCAGAGCCAGGTCACAGCTAATCCTTAGCCTACAGGGCCCAGGAAGCAACCACAGGCCCAGCAACCTTGGGCTGCTGAGCAGGGGTGATGGGTATGGACAGCCTGGCGCCTGCACCAGCTGCCATCCTCATGCCAACTGTCATGGAGCACCAGCCTGAGTGCCTGGCACTCAGCTGGGCAGGACAGAAGCAGAAAGCCAGGCTGTATAGGAAAAACATAGTGTGTGTGTGTTGGGGTGCACTGAGGATGGTTCTTTAGCCTTCTGACAAGAACAAGTGAACCAATGTGGAGGGTGGGAAAGAGCCCAAGTACCCTGGAGACCCCCAACAGTGGCACAAGCTGCATAGCACAGGCCAGACCTCATCCCGACTAAGCCCCACTTTCCTCATCTGTAAAAAAGCAGCAACAACCATTGGGGGAAGCTTCAGGGTGCACTGAGCTGAGGGAGGGAGATGGGGAGAGAGACCGTCTGGGTTTGCTTGCTCTGATTTAAAAACAACCCTGATGCCTGGCAGCTCAAGAAACACAAAAGGACAACTGTGCCTTGGCAGATCCAGTCCTTGGTCAAGTTGAGTGAGGTTGGGAGACACAGAGGTAGGACTTGGCCAGGCTGGAATACAGCTGAGGATCCTGTCAGACACATCTACAGCCCATAACATGCACAGTACCGTCTCTGTTCTTACTGCACCCCAGAAAGCTGAAGCACTTGTTCCCCACCTGCCCATCCTGCAAAGGATACCTGTACCAGAGGGAGCGCTCCTGTGGGGCTGACAGGTGTCACTACACACACGCATGTGCTCAGGACAGGTCCCACCCTCTGCTGGCTATGGACTAGGAACACCTGGTGCTGGGAGGTAGCAGAGGGGCACACATGTGTGCAACCTGGAGTCCTCCCCTGGGAGTGCTGACCCATGTCTGAGGACTGACTCCTCATAACCCATCAGAGTCTGCTGAGAAGAGCCCACCTGATCCAGAAGCCCCACCTCGGGGAAGCTGGTTTTGTAACAGCTTATCAAACAATTCCTGTGGGCCAGGTGCCATGGTAAGCCATGCAATGATCCCTTTATCTTTCATCACAGCTGTTATATCACCATTTACAAATGTGGAGCAGGCACTCAGAGAGGTACAGAAATTTGCCTGGTAATTTGCAAAGCTGGTAATGCACAGAACCAGAGTTTCTGGGTTTTGTGCAATTCCAAGGCTGGAGCTCACCAGCCTTGTGTGATAGGAGTGGTGGCTCTTCCACCAGCAGACTCATTCTCATGTGAGCTCATCTAATCACATCAGTGCCCACACGCATACTGGCACCTTGAAACAGAGCTGCCATGTGGTGGTGACAGCGCAGGCAGGTGCTGGTAGCAGGGAGGGTTGGGTAAAGAGGCACAGGACACAGGGCTGCAGCTGCTCCTGAGCCTGCTGCTCCTGAGCCTGCTGCTCCCTCCCCAGCCTGCTCATACAATGCACGCTGGGGTGCCAGGGCAGCACAGAGCCAGGCAGCCACAGCAGAGAGGCAGTGCCCCCAGCGCACCTACGAACAAGCAATGACCTCCTTCTCACGGGCAGGGCTTGCCCTGTCACAGCCCGTCACAGCCTGTCCCCTACGACCCTGACTGCTGTTTATAGATATTTCTCCACAAATATCTGCCAGGGACAAGAGCACAGCCTAAATCTGTTAAAGTCGCGCTACGGGCTGCCATGTTTAGTCCTTGGTGGGGAAGCATGAGGCTGCCCATCAAGGGCCCCTCGCAATTGCCTCCTGCAGGCCCACAGGGGCTGTGCCAGAGGTCTGAACACAGCATTTGGGGTGGTTACTGAAGGCTGGAAGGGCAGCAGAGACCTGAGGGAGCCCCAAAGTGGATGTCTGCTCCTCTGACCCCAAAGTCCTCCTATGTGCACTGGCCTTCTGCATGTCCTACAGGGCTGTCTCCAGGACTGCCCTCCCTACCCCTGACCCCAGGGAGGGCTCAATCTGACACATCTGCTCCCCAGCACCAAGGTAGAGCTGGATAACGTTCATAAGTAGCCACATGTGTGGGCTGGTCCTCCCCATCCTCTGTGAATCAGCAGTGCTGCAGACCCTGGTGGACTTCCCTGAGTGCAGCCCAGTGCTTGCCACTGATGGACCAGAGGACAAAGCATCAGGCACAGGTTGGACTGCTGTAACTTCCATGGGCTCTGCTATGGACTATGTGTGATGGTGTGTGGCAATGAGGGTTGGTGGGACCCTCAAGTGGTATCATTACCCTTGAGAAAGCTCTCACTACCCCTCACACGCCTGTTCACACACAAAATGGTCACGTGAGGATACAGATGAGCCAACTATCTTCACAGATAGGAGAGAGTCCTCACCAGAACCTGATCCTGCTGGCACCTGTCCCGAGGCTTCCAGCTCCAGAACTGTGAGGGAATAAATGTCTGCTGGTTTAAGGGTGCAGCCTGCGGTATTTTGTCATGGCAGCCCCAGGGGACTAAGCATGGCTCCATAGGAGCAAGTGGCCTGGTACACTCTCCCAGCCCCACAGGGACAGGCAGTGGAGTGAGGCTGGAGACAGTAATACAAATGTATTATACCATGACTATAGCAGGACAGGGGTGACAGCAGGTATGGCTCTGGCTGCAGAACTCAGCCCCAGCAAAACATGATAGGCTCACAGGATAGGAAGGGCAAGGGGTGACAGGTGCAAGGACACAGGGCACCTAGACAGCCAGGTCTTCCACTCACCTCATGAGAGTTGGTACCATGAGCCACTCTGGTTTTGCAAACTGTAGGTGGGAGAGAGAAAAGCAGAGGGAAATTAGTGGGGCCATTCACCCATACAGTAGTGACCTGGCAGACCAAGCGGGAGTGGGCACCTCCAGAAAGGAACTCTCAAAACACCTCCAGCCACCCCAGAAGGGGCAGATAGGAGCTGTGGAGACAGATACTGATGACCAGTATCTGTGTTCAGAGTAATATGGACAGGAGCCCCCAGGTCAGGCAGGAAGATCATCTTTGGCCCATACCCTGAAGACCCACTCAATGGTGTGGTAGAGGTGGGACCCAGGGCAGTGCCCTCCATGACAGCTAAGGCCTTCACCCATTTTCAGGCAAGTTCAAATGCAGGGGGGACCACAAATACCCCCACCCCAGTCATGGCCAGGAAGGTCTGCCTGATGAGCTCAGCATGGTACGTACTGAAGGGGAAAGCCAGGCCGTTCTGTTCCAGCAGCCTCATGGTGTCATCCCCACACAGGCTAGTGAGCTCCATGAAGGGCGGAGAGCAGATCCGGTCATCTAGGGCAAAGGGAGGTACGGTCAGCACAATCCTCCAGAGCCACACTCTTGCCTGACCCTATGCTACCCAACTCTGACTGTCACCAAACTGTGTGTGTATGTGTGTTCATGTGCCCGAACAATATCAACAGTATATTCTTTCAGATAATATTTCTGTAGCTGTAAAACTCTTACATGCCAACTAGAAAATTTGAACAGCACAGAATAAAAATACACATAGTCACAGAAGCTACAACTATTAACTACAAACTTCTTTGCCTTTTAGAATGTATATAGTTACACACAAAGAGCTGTCTAACAAGACACCATTTTATAACCTGAATTTTATTATTTTGTAACACAGAGTCTCACTATGTAGCTCAAGCTGATGTCGAACTCATGATCCTCCCGCCTCAGCCTCCCAAGTGCTAGAATTACAGGCATGACCCAACATGCATGGCTTGTAACTTTAATTTTAATCTAATTTCATGAATCACAGAACACTTCGGCTCTTAGTACAGTCCAGCACTGCACTGAGGGCTTTGCACACATCCCCTCTACAGTCTGCAAAACCTTCCCATAAGGAGGAAACTGAGTTGAGGGAGGAACCTGCCAAGGTGTATACATAGACATGGCAGGATCTCTCACCCTCAGGCTCCCAAGGTGGCCTCTCGCCTCCAATAGCCACTGCCTTCTAATCCCCTCAGGCCTGCTCCTTGCGTCTCTCCTGCAGCCACACTCCAGGCAGGCTGCACCTTCCACCTCATGCAGCCTTTACCTAGTCTCAGGGGCCGTCTGCCCTCCGAGTGCCCACCTCATGGATTCTAACACTGTGCTAGATTTTCAGAAAAGATCTGGAAGCCAAGTTGCTCTACTCATCGTAATGCAAATGCCAGCAAAGCAGATCCCTGGTGGGAAGACAAAATGTATTTTCAGCCTCTCCTGATTGTTCAATTACTGGTTTGTTATTACTATTTATTGTCATAGTCTCCTCCCCCAAAAAAGACCATGAGCTCCCAAGAGGTGGAACCACCCTGTACTTCTGAGCACAGAGACAGGAAAAGGCTGAACATTAGTGGGGAAGGGGCAGCTTACCACTCAGAAACCCAAAGCAAACCAGCAGAGTGCTACCCCAAGAGCTTCTAGCTGCTTGGCTGGCCAGGAGGTCAGCTCATAAAACCAAGATCCAGCCTCATTTATCTCCTAAAATCAGTGCCGAGAACTGCATGGGGCATATTAAAAGTGTTTTTATCTCCCTTCTCACCTCATTCCCCCAGGCAAAGCCAAACTTCAAATGGGCACAGCACTCTGGGATTGTGGAGTTTTTCCAGGGGCTCTGGGAGGGGGTTAGGAGCCAGCATTTATGGGCTGTCTGCATGGGATGTACACTTCACCCTCAATGTGCGATGACAATGTCTGGCAGCACAAATAGAAACAGGCCCAAGAGCAATCATGCTCAAAATCACTGTCCATGATGGTCAACAGCAGAGCAGGACAAGGAACAGGCTGACCTGGGAGCTCAGCAGAAAAGAAGTATGGAAAATCAGGGTGGGGAGGTGGGGCAGGTCCTGCAGGCCACTATAAGCCATTATCCAAATAAGGCCCAGGTCTGCACCCCACCCAGAGTCAGAGCCTGGGGAGAAAAGCTACAGAGGGACTGGCAGGCCCTTTGACACTGTCCAAGGGAAGAAGCAGGCTGCACGAGAGGTTCACAGCTGCAAACACAGCCCTTGCAGCCTAGTTGCACAGGGTGTGATGCTCAGTTCAGAATAAACTTTAAGACTCTGCAACAAGTAGGCTTATGACAAGAGCTGGTCTGGCTCAGGACTTGGGAAGATTCAAAGGCCCCTGGGGTCCAATAGGTCATCTCCTGAAAGAGCTTCCAGACTCCCTCACCAAAGTTCTCAGAGCAGAAGCATCACCCTGGCCTTTCAGATATCAGTGCTCCCCCAACATTGCCCCTCCCCACTCAGACTTCCATAATGTCACCTATGGCAGCCAACATCTCAATAACCTGTGTTTGCTTTGTGCCAGACATATGCTTCCACATAGTTACACTGCAACACTCACCCTTCCACGAGCCCCACAAGGAAGCATGACTGCCTCCCCATTTTACAGATGAGGAAACTGGCGTATGGAGGTGAAGTTCCCTGTGTGGAGATCTACAGTAAGCAAGCAGTGTGTCTGGGGGAAACACAGTGGGAAGTTTGACCCCCAGGTCCATGCTATTGACCATGGCCTCCCCAGCAGAAAAAGTTTTAGACACCCAATGGGAGTCTGAAAAAAGCATCCATAATGAAGGGGGACTACTATAACAAAATAAAGGACAAAACCCACATGATCATCTCAGTAGATGCTGACAAACCCTAACACTGTTTCATGGTAAAAAATAGCCAACAGATAAGTAATAGAAGGGAATTTTCTCACCCCTGGTAACCCAAAGTGAAGACAGAAAAGGGACAAGGGGACCCTATCTCCCCCTAGAGATGTCTGGGATCCAGATGAATTTCAAAGAGAAGACATTTCCAATGAATGGGCCACATCCAGTACTAGGCTGGACCCTCTGCCCCCTCCCCGCCATCTTCCTGAAATCTCAGGCTCTCGTGTGTAAGATGGCAGCTTGGATAGCTAGTAGGGGCCAAGTGGGCTGAGAAAGAAGGGCACATCCACCTGGTCATGTTCTTGTTCATTTATCCTAATTTGTAGGTGGCTGCCCACACCCTACACTGTAGACTCCAACGGCTGCCTACCTCTCCGTGGGAGGAGGGGGCCCAACTGCACAGCTGGAAGGGCTCCTATCCCAAGCTCAGGCCCTAGTTGCCCACTCACCACCAAGGGAACCAAGCTTGGGTGAAGGCAGCCCACACATGTAGAACAGACTCAAGAGAGGACCCAACCCTGCCGGGCCTCAGCCACTGCAGGCCCAGTGACTGCCCTGCTCTGGCCTCCATGTACAGTGCCTGTTCTGTCTGAGCCAATTTCTGGCTACCTGTAGCCAAAGGCATCCCAACCACTTCTGCTCACATTTTCAACAATCATCTAACACAAAAAGGTGTGCTGTGCCTCTACTACGCTCTGTGAGCCAGGGATATGGCAATAAATAAAACACAGATGCCAGGTACAGAAGTCAAATATACAGGCGGGTGAGCAGGTAGGAAAACAAAGCACAAGAGGGCAGTGCTGGGGGTACTGGGGAGGTGGGGCTGTGTAGGTGACCAAGGTTACGTGCAGGTGGGGAAGTCCCCCCAGGCAGAAGGAACAACCAGTGTCAAGGCCCAACATGCAGCTGGCACCCTGCAGACATGGGTGTTTTCACTGGCTGTAGGGCCCAGGACAACCTCATCACCTCAGACCCAAAAGACACACCAGCCTTGAAAGACAGTGACCATACAAGCTCAAGGAGCTCAAAGCGGCCTTACCAGCAGCTGGTGTCCCCACAGGGAGACAAGATAAAGGTTCTAGTAAGTCAGTCCTGGGAGCCTGCAAGGCTATTTCTGGTTCCCGGGAAAAGGCTCCTGTTGCTTATTTGTCTGTCATCTTTATTTCTAGATGGGAATTGGAAAGAGGCTTTTTTTGGTTAGATGGTGAGTTGTGTTCTTCCAAGAACTGTAACATCAGCCCCTGGGAAACTTCAAGACTCCTTTCTTCCCTGTCACCCAGATCAGACAGTGGGAAGCTGGAAGGCTCCTAGAGAGGGGCAAGCCCCAATCACATGACTTCATAAGTCCAGAGAGAAGATGTGCACAAGTTACTAGTAGGGCCAGGACAAGCACACACTGTCCTGTTCACTCTGCAGTGACCTTGCTCTCATGACAGACAGAGCTAGGCAGGAAAGCAAAAGTACCGATGACAAGTTGGATGCAAGAGGACACAGGGATGGGGGAGGAAGGGGAAACAGCTTGGAGGCACAGCTTTGAAGCTGGTCAGCATGACTTTGACCTGGGCTAAACTACTCACTAGCTAAAACCTTTGGCAAATGACTTAACATCTCAAATCTTGCTTTCATGGTCTGCAAAATGGGCTGCTGGGGAGTCAGCACACAGTTGGCATCCAGCTGGGGCTACCACAGGAGAGCAGGTAAGCTCTGAATTGTGGCCACTGGTCCATGTCCAGCTTCCTGGAAGTGTCAGATGCCCAAGTACCAAGGGGAGTGGCTCAAGCAATAAGAGCACCTGCCTACCACTGTGAGGCTGTGAGTTCAAACCCCAGTGCTACCAAAAAATAAAAATAAGGGCATCTAAGATGCCCAAGCACGCAAGGCCGAGGGCCCTATCCTTGTTTCCTTGCTTTCTTGTGTCTTTATCCTCATCCTCATGTTTTGTTTTGTTTTGAAATAAGTGAACTCTTCTTTTTTACTTCTGCTTTTACTGAAAGTGGCTGTGCTTTCCTGTGATTTTGCGTCTCCTGGCCACTTGACTGATGACATTCCCCTAACAAAGTTGGTGCCAAGCATTCTCCACCACAGACAGCGCCACAGAACATCTCCCAAGTGTATGGCTTAGTGCTGTGGTGAATGGCCGCCACAGGCTGAGCTCCCAGAGGTGGGTTTCAGGGTCCATGGGAATTAATGTTTTGATGGTTCTTGCTGCACTGTGTCCCAAAAGGACCGAAATACTTTCCTGACAATGAATGGTCTTCACTACACTTTCCCCAGCCCTGGCTGGTCCCGTCTGTAGCAATCTGGGTAGTGATTTCACAAAGGGAGAAGAAGGGTCGTGTGATCTGGGGAGACCCATGTGGGTGAGTGGCTCTCTGACTGAGGCAGGAAAGTTTGTACACATGGGCACCTGCAACTTCAACCCTCTTTGCCAAAGAGCCCTCCCTAAGTCTTTCCAGGGTGCAGTTAGAAATGGTGTCCTGAGAACTGAGCATGGTAGCTCACAGCTGTAGTCCCGGTTACTTGGGAGGCAGAGCTCAAGAAGATCACAATTTGAGGCTAGTCCCAGCAAAATTCCATTCCCCATCTATGGTTACTCTGGGGCCAATCTGCCCTTCTGGGCAGGGAGACCTGAAAATGCAGA